AAACCTCATAATAATAATTCGTCTGCAATTCGATCAAAATAAATGAGCCAATAGTATTCTGACTTTATTTCAATATGGAAGAAAATTCCATATTGTCTATTAGTGCCTACTACTGCCTAAAAAAGAAATTTCCTCACAGATATAGATCAGTCAGTCCTTATTATACAGTTATTTTCATGACCAAGTACTTGAAAACAATGGAAGCACTGAGTTTATACCAGTCAATTCATTACATTCACTCTTTACATCAACGTTATACATTCTACAACGTTCTTTAATATAAGCATAAATTTTGTTAAAACTCACTTGCATAAATAATAGTTTATTTATAGGGTCTTAAATTATTTTATTTCCAGGTTTTTTCAGACTATTCAATTTCAAATGGGATTAAATTTCTATATGTAAATGTAATTAGAACCTTACCGACAAGTGTACTGTGTACACAAATTACTGATATTAGCAAATTATTCAAGCAATCATTATTTCAGTATCAGATTTCTTATAGACATCACATAACTGAAAAATACACACTTCATAAAGATAGTTCATGTAGAAAAGAAAATAAATGTTTATTTATTTTTCCACTAGAAATATTGATTACTCTAAGTGATCCTTCTTTCTATCCCTAATTATATATATATATATATATATATACTTTAAAAACACCCTTTAGTGAGTGGTTACCAATAAGGATAACACGCCTACATAGTGTATACTGTTGTTCGGCTGTCTGCTTAAAATGAGATTAATAGTTTCATTAGATGGAAAGTATCCTAAAAAAGACTTTAAGGGCCATCGCATATAAACAAACGTTAACTGACGTCCCATGATTCTTGTGAATTCATTTCAAATATATTGAAGCGGGTCATCTAAGAGACTATTCTTGTACCAGTATTTACCAGTTGACGGCACTTTGAATACTAACAACTAAGTTGCTAGATGGTTTATTTTCGGAAGTATCATTATCCTGCTGAACAACAAATTCAGCGCTTTATTCTATTTGAAATCATTTCACTGTTGAACACTGAGCATACAATCTCTTAATTCCGAATGCCAATGTTGGTTTTGATTACTACAGATAGTAGTATTCAAGTCCTACTTGTGACTGTGCAGTCCTTTGGTTAAGTTGACCTGTTTTGTTCAGTATAATTATCGAAGATCTTAAATAATCTCTAATTAAGACTAGAAAATTGATCTTTGCCCCTGACTTCTACTGTAATTTGTTCCAGGATATCTATAAAGAGGTAATCAATGATCTGTTGTAGAACTGTTATTTGGATGATCCACAAAGATAACAATTTTACTATTCAAGAATGAAAGTTATTCTGCTGGAAATAAATTGTTTCATTGTTCTAACTGTTTAAGACGTCGGTTGGTAAACTGCAATCGTTTGCATTTGAAATCTTAAGCAATGCCAAGAAATCCATAAAATTTTCCAGTTTCAAAGAGAGTATAAATACAGGGATTAAAAGTAGTAAAAGACAGTTTCGGTTAATCACTGATTATAGAAGAAACATTACCTTTCATTTGAGTGAAGCAGAACACATTCGATCAGGGTGTTATAAGCTCGTTTATGACTCGGTAAACTCCGATTAATTAGTATGCTTAGCTGACTAACCGTTTCACCAAGTTTAATTTAACGTCGAATATGACTTTGACAACCTATTTGGAAACTAGTAATTACTGTCGGTAATAAAAGAATGATTCGCCTTTGTCATAAACCAACTAGTTTTGTTGTTATCTGCTGGGAAATATATAGCTTTAAATTCTTAGAAAGTACTGTAACTGAGCTTGAAAAAGGTTTTTAATATTAAGTCAATAATACTTCGGATATATAAATTTATGTGTTCATAATTACAACCACACCGCGATAAGGAGTCTGTCTGACATAATTTTACGATTGTGTTTTATAGTTATCATGATCGATTTTCAGTTCATACTTCCGACAGTTAGAAATTCGATGTATGAAAGTGAATGTGATAGACATTGCCTTATTTTCTCAATGTTAATAGAAAACATTACGTGGTAAATATATTCAGTTTGTTCGTAAGCACATTTGAATTCTTCAGAACTTCATTTCCTCAGCTTCTGTATTAATTAGTACCTTCATCAACATCTTCGTTACCGTTCTGTCGATGCCCTTTAGAGGTTTCCTGGCCAGTAAGTAGCAGTGAAATGAGGCCGCATCAATGGCAAGTCAGTGAAACCTGGTAAATGATACTGTAGTCATGGATAAAATATGCTCAACGGAGCGTCATGTTATTAAGTGTGACACCTGACAAGTTTCAGGTTAGGTTTGGGAAAGATTCAGGCTCAGAACAGGTTAGAGTTAGGTCAACCTAATGAGGGCGATATTGGGGTTGGTTTGAATTAGGATTAGGGTTTTTAAGGGATATTTTCACGTTACAGCTAGGTTAGGGAAAGACTAGGGCTAGAAGACCTAGATAATTACATGCATAGAATGTAGTTCAATTACTCTGTTGATGCTTTAATCCCAAACTGAGAGGATTTTTTGTCACATTTCAGAAGATGGTATCCTGTGTAACAGTTTCATGCCTTTTAATTCATTATTCTCACAAATATATGTTTTTATACGCAAAGTCGGCTTTATCATGTGGCTGGTGCGTTAAGGGTCCGTCGGTACTTACTGGTTTAAAATTTAAATTGACCGGTTTCTTCGTAAAGTATAGAGGCACGAAAGTAAGTAAATAAGATGAATTTCACTGAAGAAATAACTGATAAATGATGGAAAAATTTTTTACACACAGTAAAAAAGATTTAATCTAAAGTCGTTATGTAATGCAGGATTTCTAATCGTATATATTCTAGACCAGGCCACGGTAGCAATCGTGAATCGAACTTCGTTGTACATTAAGTAATGGGTGTTTAGAGAGAATTGCTCTGGCTTATTTTACTTGGAGTATTTGATACCTGGCTTTTGTGTTCTTTTACGTTCCTAGTGGAACATAGGGCTTCAAGTCTCTGAAGTTTCAGTGGCATTGATGCTTTCTTACGGGGTGGAGGTGACAGCCTCACACCCGTCCTTCCCTCTTTACCGGTGTTATTATCCAACCAAGTGAGGTTTAGGAATGCATCGTCCGGTGATCGAACCCTGAACCACACACACAGTTGGTGAGTATTCTACGTCTGAACCGCCGACGTTTGGTAGCTGGTGACTTTTGGTAATTTATTAGGTGGAACAGCGTTCTTTAGTAATGGCCTGCTTGGACCAAGTGAGTTAGTATCGAGCTGTTAACGTTAGCTTTTACACCTTAATTTAGCCACAGTGGTAGGCGCTTCTAACCATAAAATACGTAGTTTCTAAAGTGACAGCCGTTGTAGTCAGTTCCAGAGAAGCAGTTGAAATGATAGGAACATGAAGAGATGGCTATATTTCGATAATAATTTATTATTACTATGGCTTTCTATGTAATCTGTACATTGTTTACTTTTTTCTATATTATTCTACTCTTATAAACTGAAATGACTGTTCCATTTAGAAAAAAATTGTATATATATTGTTTTGGAATGTTTATTCCCCATTTTTTGTAAGTTCATTTTATATGAGTTTGACGGAAGCCCTAAGGAATAAAATGTATTCGTTACAGGATATCATCATGAGCTGAGATTGGTTAAAGAACTATTGGAAAACCTGGGAGTACTGGACAGATGTTTCGTCCTATTTTGGGACTCTTCATCAGTACGCACTCACCGGGGCTGGAACCCAGGACCTTCTGGTTACAAGGCGAGTTCGTAGACCAGTGAGCCACTGAGACCTCCACGTCTAGAACCCAGGTTCTGAGGTTCTAGTGGGAAGCCGTGACCAGTAGGGTACAGCAGGTTGAAGATGAGGCAGTAACTCATCTAAGAAGACATTGCGAAATGGTCACGCTGTGTCATGAATTAACAGAAGTTAGAATTCAAGAACCATTGGATCGGGTCTCAGTGGCTCAATGGTCTACGAGGTCGCCTTGCAACCAGAAGGTCCTGGGTTCGAACCCCAGTGGATGCGTACTGCTGAAGAGTCCCAAACTAGGACAAAACAGCTGTTCAGTGCTCTCAGGCCTTCCAATGGTTCTTTAACTGATGTCAGCTCATGATGAAATCCTCCATGCAATTAAACGAAATCCCTATGATTTATCTGTCTATCATAGAAAGAAAACTAAGAAACACTCTGTCTTACATCATTACTTTTGTACAAGTTTCGAAATCATTTTGAAGCTATAGATACACTAAAGATAAATTTGTCAGTTAATAATGGAGCTCGAAATCGAATCAAAACTAAACTAAGATAGAGTGATATTTCTTCATCAGTACAGTCAAAAATTACGCTTCTACTATGTTCTTTTGGCTAATATTAGTATATGAAGTCCATAAACTCGTAATGAAATGATAAAAAATAACACTTAGGGAAAAATCAAGCAGAATAAAAATTCTGAGAATAAGTCAAATAACCGACTAGAAAATTAACTGAAATGTCCTTTTCTGTCCTGTAGAAAAGAAAATTTACTTCACTATGAAATTCGATGCTTTTTGGGTTCATATCTTGTGTAAATATATCCATTTACATTTTGCCTTCTTAGTGTTGTCCAGAAACATTTGTGCTCATATATATGACACTATAAAACTGATTGAACTGAGGAAATTTGAGCTAAACTGTTGTCTAACATAGAAATTAGAGAAGTAGAACAACTCAGAAAATTAGATGTAAAGAGAGAGAGAGTAAGAATACTGAATAAGGTATGAAAATTTTGTAACCAATAGAAATTTAGCGTCAGCTAGATAAAATTAAGTAATTTGATATTCAGATAATTTCTTTTATACACAGACTATAAAAATAGAGGAGTATATTAGGTCAAGATTCTATATATATGTAAGAAGAAAGGTTAAAGACTACTACACTGAATATAAGCAGAAAAATAACTGTACATTTTCTTGATTTTATACAAAGTGTTGAGAAGATTTATGTGTTCACTATCTACAAAGGAGATTCATGAATGATGTCATTTCCAACGCCTAGTAATTATATTCATTGCGAAACTCAGAAAGAGAAGAGTAGAAGACAACAAAGTACCGACCAAAGCGTTGCAAATTATGTTGACAATTCTAATTCCCCGTCTACACCTTTACGGTCTTCTAATATTACGACCACAAGTTCATCTATTTCTTCGTGCTCATCATCATCACCATCGTCCACAATATCAGTTTCGAATATAACAGATTTATGCGCATGGTGTCAGAAACCAAATCTTCATCCATATAAATTTAATGTGTTATGCAAATCCGTGAATGTCGATAATTCAATGGATGAAACAAGACCAATGCCTGTTTGTTGTTCTCAAATCTGTTTTGATAATTTACGTCGCGCGTATTTCAAAAATCGTCGGTCTAAATTAAACAGACAATTGTTTGACGAAATACCTGCTATGGTAGTATCAGGTCGTTTACCGTATACATATGATTCTGATAAGGATATAACTGTCGTCAGTGAAAGTTGTAAACAAGCATACTTATCAACTAACCTTACCGTTACTAATTCAAATAGTCGAATACCGTCGAAGAAACGATGTCACCATCATCAACAACAAAATAATATTCAAAATCGTAGACATATTATGAATAATTTGTCAAGTAGAATAAATTTTTCAACAAATACACAGAATAATTATTTATCTTTAGCCGAACAAGTGAGCGATTCTACTCATCAGAATAATACTGAACCGTCAATTATCCCATTATATGATTGTATAATGCAGCATATTGATATTACTCATGTTCTAAACAATTTGTTTAATACAATGAGTATAGAGAATAACAACACTGATAATCATTGTCATTATAATAATTGCAATACAAAGAATACTGACATCAGTAAGCATAATTCTGATTTGAGTATAATGAATGCTCAAGCCGGAGGTATTGGTCAGTTGAACTCATCTAACATGGAATTAATCAACTTCATCAGTCAGTTAGTAAATTTTCCAAATAAAAATATTACTAACAATGACACTAGTAGTGATGGTAGTAATATTAATAAGAATTTAGATTTTCAATTTAACTGTTTCAACCAACAGCCAATAGTTCCTATACCAATACCGATACCTGTATTTAAAACAGCTCCTGAACTCTTGACTATTCTACATCGTTATGGTTATCATTCATTAGGCTCTTGTGAAAAAAGTAATAAATCTATTAGTGTAGATGTCTCCACGCAAACAATACCGCAACCATTATCAAAAACAATCACCATAGCACAGGTAAATAGTGAAGATAATTTAAACGAAAAACTCCCGTATCCATTACAAGATGATGTCAATGATGCGACAGGAGATACTGAACAAAATCAGGATAAATATATTAAGACAGAATACAATTATCAGCTCAATGAAAACAGTGATAAAGCATTAGATTTAAGTTTATCCAATAAAAAACTACAGAAAATAACTTCAAATAGAAATTTAATGAGTATGCAATATTCAGAAAATCGAAAACAATGCCATAAACAACAACGAATTCAAAATAAGAGCCAGTTATGGAGAAGAAGACAATTAAAACAATTTCCTTTTACAGGCATTTACAATTTAATCAATCCTGTGACAAAACATTGTTACACGGTTAAAATTATACCAATCAGACGGTGATACTTATACAAGCTAAACTGTTATTGTAAATATTTGTAAATTTAAGTTTCTTTTTCCTTAGACTTCTGCATTAATTTAATGCATTTCTACTCCTTATTTCATTTTTGGCACTATATTACTTATATTGGTTTAGTTATTAAAATAAATGAAACAGTTGATATTAATCCACCTTTTATACTGTTTAGTGCAGGTATAAACAGTTTCCGCGACTGATTCTATCTGTTCTGCAGAATTAGTGGCCTTTTTGCATATCTCTGCTAATTGTAGCGGTGTAGCCCCCTGTTATGGTCGTTTAATGACAAGTTATATTTTTTGTATGCTTTTTAAATGAAATTTTGCATTAAATGTGTTCTTCTGGTGTACATATTATTGGTGGCATTATATTCTTGAACTGCGTTACATTCGCTACACTTCTACCAGAAAATTATGTTTGATACCGAGACCTACTCAGTGTAATCGATTAAAGGAGGGAGTAAGTTCAAATTTTGGATGTATATTATTGAATTTTCATTAAATCATGCCGTTATATTTTTACCTGTTTACCGAAACGCGTGCGTCGGTGGTATAGCGGTTAGGACGCTCGCCGACCATGCATGTGGTCCGGGGTTCGATCCCCGGACGGCGCACTCCTCTACCTCACTGAGCCAGAAATAATGCTGGTAAAGAGGAACGGTTGGGCATGAGGTTAGCAACCCCATCCTGTAAAAATTAAACACTGCTACAGAAACTTCAAGCCACTAGCTTGGAGCCCTATATTCCACTGGGAACGTGGAGGAAAAAAAAACTGAAACGCCCTGATACCGACTAGATAAGGTAGGTGGCGTCATTTCAGAAGTGGAATATGCCATATAATAGCCTGTTTTCGAAATCACCACACCCTATAGCATTACATACCGCAATAATTCTTATATTAATGGTAAAAGTATTAGTCTTAAATAGAAGATGATGGTTACTCATACATTTTGTAGTAGTCTAGGAGCGACCATGAATTTCACTCGGATACTTTCTAGAGGTTATTACGAAGACCTAAGTCATTTAGCATTTCGATTCAGAGATTTTCACTATGAAGTAAAAGAGTGCAATTCTCTCGTGCCACTTAGCTAGCTGACTAGACTAAACACTGCAGTTACAACACTGATTATGGAATTTCGATATCATAGATGATGAAGGCTGATGTGAATAACTGGTCAAAAGGATACTGAACAACCGAACAGAAGAGTTTGGTGTGTTTTTTTTAATGAAAAAAGTTGTATGAAGCAATATAATGAGAAAAAATAGTAAAGAAATGATATCCATACCTTCTGACATGAATTTTATTGTCAAAATATGAGAATATACAAAGTGAATACAAGTTATGTTTCGTATTAAAATTTCAAAAATGTACATTTGTGCACATCATGTTAAGATTTAATGAGTCAAATTAGCACCTTTGGTAAATTAGTAAATTACCAACTCAATCAAATAGGTAACTAGTACTCCGGGGGTTTGAATTGATGTGGTTATCCGTACTGAGACAAACCTGAGCTCGACCTCAAACTGAAGAAACGTCTGGCAAGGACTTTTGTTTAGTGTGAGTTGTACCCAATTATTGATATCAGTCGGCAGTGTTTGTATATAATTTCAAATTCTATGGTTTGAAAAGATTTAGGGATGTGGTATATGAGACTGATTATTATAAAATCGTTTGGAATCTTACAGTTTTCCATTCATTAGAGAATGAATGTAACCAATTTTTATAGTAACGAAGTTTACCTAGGTACCTGGAAACTATTGCATTTAAAATACTTATGAAGTCTGTGCAATTTATCTTTATGTCCCTGTTGAGAATTTTATAGTAAGTTGTAAGGAATTAGATCTCCGGTGAAGGTAAACAAAATTCTTATTCTAAGAATTGAATAGACAATGTTTAATTTTTCTATTATACGTTACAGACTAATACATTGGTACCTACACTTGAATAACTTCAACAGTATTTATCACTAGAAATAATAAATCGTTTCATTTAGCACGTCGTAATACGCCGGTTCCTCATGTAACGAATAGACGAATTTAATATGACAACAGATAATAATATCTTGCCATCTTCATGGAAGTTGATGAAACCTACTCTAAGTTTCAGAATCGGCGATCTGAACCTGATGAATATCCAGTTAAAACAAAACAGCTATTTAGATCTTTCTGAGTTTTAATCACCTATTACATAACACCATTACATGATAAAAAATGTCTTTATATCAACCAGTCCCATACAATTCTCAAATAGACTTCATTAAACCAAGGGCGGTCTATGAAAACTTAGTAAATTCGTGGCTAACCGAGTTTGAGTACTGCATAAATACACAGAACACACACACACATATATATAAAAATATTTGTAGAACGTCTAAAATTGTAATAAACTTAAATTTAGTAATATCATTCTTTACACCACGCTAATACGCTGAGTGCTAACCTGATTGTTGAAATCAGCGTTTCTTTGCTGCTGTCGATTTTACAGATATCTAAATGAAATGAAAAAGAGCTGAATGTGAAATGCTCACTTTATCATTGAGAACAGCACGATCAATAGCTGCATAATTTGTGCAGTCATTGACTGCAACCAAGGGCAGTGTGGAATGAAATCCCTGATTTTAAAATAAATTGGGATTATGTTAGGATTTCAACTAATGAAGTCAGTGTCACTAGACTAACGCTCTACAGAGTTAGTTATTGTGTTGATAACTTGCTTTCAGCATATTCTTGTAAGTGGCTGTTGATGAGTATGAAGCAATTCACATATGAAACGCTGAATATCATTTTCAATACTTTTGCTAGATAGACTTTATTTTATATAATATGTAGATTATAATAAGTAGAGATTAAATATCTGCTTGTTACTATTTTTCTATACGTTATTTGTCTTTGCAGATACTTATTGTAAACGATAAGAAGCTTCTATGGTTTTCTTCTTCTTAACTTATCCTCGAAAAGAAATAGTATCCTTACTAATCGAAACGATTCAATTTCTCCCTGATTATTTCTACTCGACCAGAATGGTGACCCTGTGTTGGCATCTCAACTCTTAGGATACTAATCATGATACCTTGTTAATTTGATGTTGTCTGGATGTCGGCGGCTAGCAGAGAAACTCAGAATACCAGTTTAGTCCCATCAGGAACTCATCATATAAGATTCAGTGGCACATTGTCATTCAACTTGGTTCTCTGCCATCATCTTCAGCCGCCTTCACTCTTTTGTTTTCCCGATGCGATCCTGGATAACTAGCCTTAACATCGCCTTCCTGTTCAAGCATATGAGTGAAAGAGACCACTTCCCTTAAATCCCTCCGATTAATCAAGTGACAAAAATAAGTATTTTACTCAACCGATTCCTTTGACTAGTTTGCAGGATTTTTTTTTTTAAAAATGCTCTTTTTTACTTCACGTCATTTCTTCAGGTTTGGACTAAACTGAAATTCAACTCAGCTATTTCTAAACAATACAGAATTGAAGACATTCACAGGGCAAGAAGAGAGAGAGTTTCATTTCTACTATAAACAATCTGAAATCACATAGGTTATTAAGAACTGAATATAAACAAACAATATAAATTAAGTATTTGTAAATAAAGCCAAGTTTACAAATTACAGCGAAATAATTAATCAGGAAACCCGGATAATATTGAATAGTAAAACAGAAACAGAATTTTTATTTATTTATTTGTACATGGTATCAGTGCAGTTTTGAGGAAGCCCTCAAAATATATGGAGGAGGAGGTGAGCTGAAATAAAGTTATACATAATAAAAACTAAAAAAACAGACTTAACTTCCTAGACAGACCATCAGGATGGATATCAATCCGGCAGACAAAAATAAAGATGATGAAGATGAATATATTGATAAGCCAGACACTAGGAAATTATGTGTATTCAACTAACTTTGTGTAAATACAAAAATGCTTATAGACATAAGATCACATTGATTTCCTCAAAAAGAAGCCAACACGACTATTTCATATACTAATTATATACTAAAAGCTTGACCTAAGAAACTAACGTTTTCAGCAATTTACTAGTGAAACCGTACATTCGTAAGTTCATGTTAGTCTGTAAATGTAATGTGAGTTGACATTATAAAAAATTAACTTGTGTTGTTTACTGAGGTCTGTGTAGGTTTTAACCGAGATCTTTTCCACTTCAGTTCAGTTCTCAATACCGTCGGTACATTAAAAAGCTTTCTTGGGATATCGAATTTTGAGACGAAAATCGTTGTACTCTTTTCTCTGTATTGTTTTTACCTTCATGATAGTCACTTAACCTATGTTCACTTTCTTATTCCTTAAAAGACTGTTAATTATATTATGGTTTCGGGTTGTGGCAGTCTCAGCCATGGGCCTTGCATTACTCATTTGGCACTCTACCAATTGAGCAACGAGATCTGGATACCAACCAAGCAGTAATCTCACTACTTTATTACTTTACCATATAAATTCTCTTGATAATCACGTGTGTGATCACGTTGTTTGAAACCTATTGTATAGATGCATTACATGATTAAAAAAATTTGTTTTCATATTTTTCTGTCGAAGTTCATAAAAAACCTATGTCTCTTATATTCCTATGAATCTTTAAACATCACAGTGTAACCCAAAACACCGCTATAAATATACTGATAAAATAACTACCATTCATTGCAAACTTAGATTTTTTTAAACCAACATCTTGACAATCCTAGCAGACTACACTATCGACCACCAGTCTAAATATTGATACAATCCGTTGTCTAATATGCACTACAGTAATAGACTGAGACGGTTACAATCAAGCCTACTTAATTACCTCAGAAACGGTATGTCAAGAAAGACTAACCATTATGGTGACAAATCCCTGTACATTCGCGAAGTATAGAGCCACCCCCGCCAAATGCTCTTAGTGAATATTTATTCTTCCATACAACTTCGTGGACGCAGTTGGTCACGAAGTCATTCTAGAACTCCATATCAGTCGTGTAATGGTTGCGTAA